AACATGCGTATTTGATTGATTTTGCATTTTGCTTTGAATTAATTTCTTGCGTTACCCACCGTCTAACTTAGCCTTTACTTGAGTTTTACAACTTAAGTAGCTCGTGAAACAGACCTAATTTAACACTTCGTCTACACTGGTTAAACGTTGGCAAGTTTTTTGAAAACCCTAACGTCTATAACTTTATGTGTGCACAAAATGTTTGAAAATAATTTGTACTTGTATTCCAAATTAAACAAATTTAGCAAAGTCTAATTAGCGTAGATGCCAAGTAATATAAATATTATGAAAGTTTACTTTGAAAACTTTGAGAGTCTATAATCTTGCAAAGTTTAGCTAGTGTAAACGCTGTTAAATGTGATCGTAACATTTTTTTTAATATTGTATCAACTAAAAATGCAAAATATTAAATTTATTATTATTTAAAATTTATTATTATTTTAAATAGATTCAATAAATATACTAATTTATTTCGTTTAATGCTCATATATTTTGTATATTACCACATTATTGCATTACAATTATACGCACATTTATTTTATATTTAATTTAAATAATTTTTAATTTTAGAAATAAATTTTTAATTTAAATATTAGCGTGAAATTATTCTGACGGCAAATTTTTTACAATATTTTTTTTTGTGTATGTTTTGATTTTTATTATGGTTTTTTATTTTTGAATATTATTTTTTTTTTTAGAAAAAAAAACTATTTAATCAATTTTAAGATGTTTAAATTTTTTAAAAAAATACGGTTTTTTTTAAATTTTTTTTTTTTTTTGTTATTTGGATTTGTGATTTTTATATTTTATTTTCATATATATTTGAAAAGAAGCACTTGCAAGACATAAATATTATTTTATTACATATATTTATTTATATTTATATTTTGTAAGCTGACTTATTGTTATGTGTTACAATTTGCATGTAACATTGTTACATGATTTGTTTAGGTAATGAGTTAGACTTTATTAAGGCACTAGTTACACGTTATTTTTAGCTATTGAATTTTGAATTTGTAAACTTAGGGAATGTTACCGACTTTATATTGAAGCGACATATAGTATATAGAATTAACCTATGAAAAATTTTAGGTTCGGAATCAATAGCTCACTGTCTGACAGTTTCGTTTCCCTCATTAACGTGTAACTACTGACTATATGCGTACATATATGTTTAAAAAATAGTTATTTTAAAAATATATATTCATATATATAAATATATGTATATATATATGTATATCTAAATCTTTTTTTGATTTTTATTATATACTTTAATTTTATACTATATATATTTAACTGAGTGTTTGTGAGTGTGATTATTTAAAGCTTAATTTAGCGTATTTTTTTGTTAATTTATCAGGATTTTTAGCTTTTGCACATCTTAAGGGTAATTAGTTAATTTACTAAGACAGTAAAGCATTATTAGCAATACTAAACATACTTAAATTAAATGAATTATTACTTTAACTTAAAACTAATAAACTTTCTTATATATTTGCTTAATTTGCTTAATTAAATATTTTTTAATATTCCACAGAAATTTAGAAGTAGACAATTAATTACTGGCTCACGTATGAATTTATATATTTTATTTTAGAATTATGATCCAGCGTTTTAAGCAATAAATGCTCCAATTTAAATTTTAAAATAAACAATATAATAAAAAAAGTTTATTTTAAAATTATTCAACTATTTTCTAAGCATATTGGCGGAGCTCTATTATATTTTTAATTATTGTTTTAGAAATAAATTTTTCAACTTAGAACTTTATAAAAATATAGAAATTATTAAATATAAAATTTAAAAGCTGATTTAAGTTATAGAAGTAACTATAGTTGCTAGAGAATTATTCATTGCAATTTGTTTGGTAGAGCAGTAATAATTGTGGCATAATTTTTCACAATAGATGGCGCTTCAAAATTTTAATATTTTAATGGCAGTATAGTTGTTCAGTAATATAAACTCCACATTAGAAAAAGTTTTTAAAATTAAAGACTATATCTTTCGTTCTGTTTATAATTTTTTTCTATTGTATTCAAGCTCTTCTCTAACTGTCTACTTCCGATATCGGTGGCTCTGTTAACAGTACTCATTAAAGCTACGAATGGTCTTTATTATATTAAATACTGCTCTGTTGGTGCCGGATTCATCTTAACTTGTGTGTGTATATTGGTTTTTATGTTAACTGAAGTGTGTGCATAGAATTTTTAAAAAAATTTTTTTTTAAATAGGATATAAAATTAAAAAAATAATAACACAAATTTTATTTAAAAAATTATTAAGATAATAATAATAAAGATATATGTTCACAAAAAAAAAACTAGTTTTTGGGCAACTATATAGATGATTTTTTGGTTTCATTTAACCAAAAAAACAGCATGATGTCCCAAAAAAATTATTTGATTATAAATATAAATTTTAGTAGTCATACATACTATATTTTCTTATTATTTTGCACAAAGCATGACAATATCCAACGCACGATTTTGTCCAACTTACTTCAGTAGTCCAATTCCGGAACCACTGCATATTATTGACAATAGTTGGTATCTTCTATATTCTATAGAAATTTACTACAATAAAAGTCAACAGACACTTCATTGAGTGATTGTGGTTTAATAGTGTGTTTGATATTAAGTTATAGTCAGTGGCTACAGTAACTGACAACCTTTACAGTAGGTTGGGTACTAAGTTATAGTCACTAGCTTCAGTATCTGCTAACTTTTACTATAGTCAATGATTTTTGTAGCTACTTTAATCAGCTTCTGCAGTTAAATCGTGCATTGGAATATAATTTATAATTTAATTCAAATATAATTTAACGAATTTAGAAATATTTAATTTAAGCGGTGACATAACAAATATTTTTGTTTATAAAACATTAAATTTTTTTATATAAATATTTTTATGTATGAACTTAGACAATTATCTTTATTAATTTTAGTTTTTAACAAAATAAAATAAAATTTATATAAATAGAAGATAATCAAATAAGCAACCCAAGTAATTGTTATATAAATTTAATAATTTTACTAAGCAGTTGTTAATTTATTATTTTATAATGTAAAAAAATAAAACTCATATATATATTTTAATAAACATCTCGAAGGATAGTATTATTTCAACTACATTAAATTAACAAAAAAATTATAAATATTCTGTAGCTATTTATTTATATAATAATTAAAAATAATAATAAATTATAAAATTTTAAACCAAACAGAATTTAAATATACTGTTTATGTTTATTAATTATTAAATCGTATTAAAAAATTAAAACTCTTATCATAGTGTTAAAATCATATTAAAATGTTAAATTGGTTTACTATAAATTAATTTAATAACTAAATACTAATTTATTTAGTGTGATTATTTGACAATAAACTAAATTAGTTGTCATAGGATTAAAATAATTTTTAAATAAAGTGAAGATTTATTTTTAATTTATTTTAATAATTTATTTAAATAAACTCAATAGCTGAAAATTTATTTATTAAATACAATTATTTTATAATAAACGTTTGGAAAATGTTTAGGATTAATAAAATAAATTCTTTAATAAGAATAATTATTTCTTAGGTCGTTAATTTTACACAAAAAAATTAAAAATGTTTTCTTAATTAAAAAATAACATTAATTTGTGTTAAATATTTAATTATATTTTTATTTCTATAAAAAATTATTTATATTACAAATATTATCGTCTACTTCGTTGACGATTTTCAGATTGTACAATCCAATCTAATGTAATATTTATTTAAAAAAAAACATTTTTAAGTTTTATGTGTTAAATTAACGATCTAAGCCCAGTAATAATTAAAAAAATGACAAAAAGTGAAATAAGAAATTAATTAATGGATTATACTAATATACAAAAATTTTAATCAAATTATTCAATTTTATTATTTAACTTAGCAGGGTTTGATAGCGGTTATTTAATAATTAAAAATGATCAGAATTAATAAAATAATTGAAAATTCCTTCAATTAAAATCGTTAAAATTTTAGTACATATAAACTAAAAGTGTGATAAGAAATCAGTTAATTGAATATTGTAAATAAACAAAAAATTTAATTAAATTAATGAATTTAATTATTTCATTTAATAGAGTTTAAAATTCATTATTTAACAATAAAAAATTAATAAACAAAAACGCAACTATTTCAATTGAATTACTGCAAACCCAGTTAAATTAAGTAATAATGTTTTAGAATTAAATACGGCTATGTAAATTTAATAACTTTAAATCCGGTTAAATTAAGAAATAATAATAAATTTAAAAAATCAACATTTATATTTTTTATAATTAACATTTTCATAACATATTTTTAAATTAATTTATTGATGTGATATTAAACCAGTTAGTGAATTATTTTTAAATATATGTATCTTGAGTTTTCAATTAAAATTACTTATAATTAATTATATTAAAGTATTTCAAATTTCGAACTGGTATTTTTAAAGTTCGAAATTTAAAAAAAATACACATATAAGGAATTTTGTTTTGTCATCATTGACTTTTAAAATTGAATTTCATAATCGTAATTTTAATTTGTTTTGCATTTTTTTCTTTTAATATGAAAATATTTAATATTATGTAATTAAATTAATTTTTATTTCTTTTAAATGTTAACTTCAATAAATTTAAAAGTAGGCCAAAAGCTCATAATATTGTAAAAATAATTTTGTATATTTGCCTAAGTAAAATTCTTTATAAAATCGCACAATTAAAATGACATAAAAATTAATTAAAAATTTATTATAGGTTAACTAATAATTTTAGGCAGCACTTTTGTTTATTATATGAAATTAATTTTAATATTAATTTAAAAATCTTATCATAAAAATGATCAAATAATAAAATAGTTATTTAAAATAATATGTTTTAATAATAACAATATACTTTGCAATTTACTTGGAATTAGTGCAAAAAAAAAAAATAAAATAAAACATTTTCATTTTAGTTATAAAAATTAATTAAATAAATAAAAATATTAAATATAAATAAAAAGTTGAGATTTTATTTTAATGTGTACTATTTGGATTAATTTTGTCATGTTTGTATTATTTATCTGATCTTAGGGAACTATTTGCACCAACTTATATTGAATTACTTGATATTCAAGCATTTAGCTATATATAAAATAAATAATTTTCTAATAATATTTATGTAATTGTTTGCATAGAGAGTTAATTTACACACACACATCTTATAGATCTTCGGTTACATAAGTGAGTGAGTAGTGTAGTTCGTAGGTTGCTAGTTAATGCCTAACCTATAAATACAATATATTATATAATAAATTTTATCATATATAGACTTGCATTTTGATTTCATATTTTTTTTTGTGTTTTTTAATTTTATAATTGTAATGTATTGCTTACAAATTCTCTTTGTATATATATATATGTTTATATATATATACATATATATGGGAATATATATATATATACTGATATATTATGTATATGATGTCTTGAGAATGAATTCAATTGGGAAATTATGCAACTATATTGGAAACTACAAATAATTGGAACCAGTGCATTTGGGCCTCAACTGTATAAATTTCACTAATTATTTCTATTTAATAAAGTTTGGAAGTTTCACTACATAAGTGTGTAAATCCATATATATCTATAAATGTTTCACTTTGTATGCTTTTATGTAAATGTATATGACTTGTGATATTGATATATGATGCATTTAATGTTTTATATTTAAAACTATGACTTTATTGTTTTTGGTATTAATGATATTAATGATACAATGATGTAGTGATTGATCTCATCATTTTTATATCATTTAAAGAATAGAAATTTTGTTAAGTAGTTTACGGCAGTTTTTAATTTAATATATATAAATTTTTAAAATTTTGTATATATAACATTTTATTTGTGAAAATTTTACACACATGGTCAATGAACACAAATCGCAAAGGAAGTTTATCACTGTACAAGTATTGAGTATATATATCCTCATGCATTTAATACATTTTTAAATGATTTGTTTTAATTAATTTATTTTTTTTTTGTTTTTTGTCTTTATATTTAAAATTAATATTTAAACTTAATTTATTCGGGCATATTTAATTAAGAGAGAGTTACTTTATATCTTAGGTTGTGTCAATGTGATGTTTTAAAATTTTGATATATCGATTAAATAATAAAAAATAATATAAAAAGAGATTTAATCGTATATAAAAGACTTTACGTAAAATTAAATTGAAAATAATTAAATAAATTTTATATAAAAAAAATTTTTGTACAATTAAAACTAATTGGAATGTAAACAAATTCGTAAAATACAAATACTAAACAGGGTGTGTCATTTAAAATTTAAAAGACACTTTTTTGCTAAAGAACTTGCACCATCACACAAAGTTACAAATCTTAAATATATAAATAATATATATATATATATGTTTATGTATATTTAACTAGTTTAACACACCCTGTAGTTTGCAAATTAATTTACACATGAATATATAAAAGTTAAAATAATACAATTATGATAAAAAATTTAACGTAATTACAAACAAACATAAATTAAGTTAAAAGTATTAAGGCAAGGCAATTACTAATTAAATTCATATTTTGTATATAAGAAGAGAGAGTAGTAAGTGATTATTTTATAAATAGTTGAACATACAAAGATAGTATGTATATATTTATATATTCAATAAACGTTGTGATTGTGGCTGTGGCGATGGTTTTGGCGATAGCAATTGCGATGTGGTGGCTGTGGATTTTGTTTTATGAAATTGTAGTGGTCTTAAAATTTCGTTCAATTTTTACATAATTTGGTACTTTAGTATAGAAACTTTGCTATTGCTAACATAAATATGTTTGCTAACAGTATGTAGATGTTTTCTTGTATCTGATAGCTACCTCCGATACCTCCAACAACAACATCCTTTTCCTCAAGTAATGGATAATCTATAACATGTATAATTCCATTTGTGCATTCCACATCTGGTCGGTAAACGTTTATCTTTTTATAGTTCCAAATGATCACATAGCCTGTAAAAATTTAAATATATTTATAGTAAAATTCTTATTAGGAAAAATATTCTATTAGGTCTAAAATTTCTCTACTAAAACTATTGTGAAATTAAAAGTTTTGTGAACACAAAATTTTGAATTGCTGTTCTTAAATAACTTAAATGATAGGTTTTAATGCTTATGATATATGTAGGTATATAAGTGTGATTTGTGATGAATTCGAATTTCAAACGAACGAATCACTCACCGGTCCATTCATGTGAAGCATATTCATCATGAAGATCTTAGCATAATGAAAATTAAAGCAAAAATAATATAATTTGTCAGTAATTTACATAAAACGTTTAACAGTTTGCACTATAAGTGACTGATAATAATTATTAATATTAATATTTTTCCTTTAAAACAATATTAAAGAATGACACAATTCGGATGAAGACATATATTTTGAAGAACTCGTTTCAAAACCCCATATGTCATTATAACTTTGTTTTTGAAACACAAGAAGTTTTTACTTACAGTCAACTTTAAAGAACTGAATATTGATTATGTACATTATAATAATAAAATAGTAATAAATAAATAATAAAATAATAATAAATAATGAAATAATAATTTTTTTTTTTTGTTTTTTTAAATTTATTTTCTTATATTGCGATCTGTCAATTCGGAATAGACAATAAACAATATTTAAAGTGACTAAATACTTAAAATTTTTGTGAGCTTGAAGGGACTGTGCTCAGTAGTACATCCGTCTGTTGGTAACATAATAATAAAAAAATAAAATAATAATAAAATAATATTATATAATAAAATAATATAAAAGATAAATAAAAATAAAATAAAAATAATAAATAATAATAAAATTATATTAAAAAGTTTTAAATTTTCATAAATGTAAGAGTTTTCAATAAAGTATTTAGAATAACATCGATTAACATGGGGTTATAGATTATAGAAGGATAAAATGATATTCTTCTGCAGTAAAAGCAGACACACCTAAACATCTGTTGTGTTACTGTTAAGGGCTAAGCATATGGTTGATCTATTCTTTAACACGCTCTATAATATCAACATAGTACACAATTAAATACTTGTGCTCGGTTGGTTGTAACGACTTTCTCCACTATTTTTTTTATTTTTAAAATTATAAAAAATATTGACTCAAAAAAGCATAATCGCTAACTGAAAAAACTTCTTTTCATATTATCTACCTATCTATAATAAAAATTTAAATTTATACCTAATATTAATATCAGTCACTTAATTACTGTACATGCTGTGATTTTTTATAACAAAATCAATTTTTACTACAATTTCCTATTTAATATTGAGCTAGTCATTCTCATGCAATCGGCAAACTGCTATTAAATATCTGACTATATACTTAAACTCAAATATTGTATTTAACACTTACGACCCGCTTCCTCTTCAACTTTAACTTTAAGAGAATCTCTAAATGTTGGCAGCACAATAGAATCACTCTCAGCGGTCATTGCAACTAAGTCTTTCATAGTAAATGCCCGATCCGCAATTACAAGGTGACGTTCCAATATGGACTTGGACTGTAAAAAGAAATATTTTTTTACCATAATTAAAAAAATAAAAATAAATAACTGTATATATAAAGTCTTACATGATAAGCAAAATCTTTCATAAATAGTTTCTTATGTGCAGATGGTAAATCGATTTCAGTCTTCTGCCAGCCCTTATCACGTGGCACGAAGTAAGTAAATCTGCGCTGAGTATTGTTCAACTGTTCGTTAAAGTTTGAAAACTGGCCGAGCTTAAAGGTATCACTACAAAATTAGAAGGGATATAGAAAATCATTTATTTTAAATATAAAGAAAAAAAATAATTCAATTTAAAATTTATTGGTGTTTTTCGAATTCGAATTTTTCGAATGCGTTAGGAATTAAACATATTTTTTTCGAACATTGTTCGAACATTGTTCGAACATTTTCGAATGACTCGCTCTGTTAAAGTTATGTGCTCCAGCATATTCGAACAATTAAATGATCGTAACTTCAAACAGTTTGAAAATCATTGGTAGCTTTGATTAATATACATAAAACGAATGACTGTAAGTGCCTACCTCAACATTGGATCACTTTCGATTTTACCAAACACAGTGGTATAGGGTACTCCCAGCACTTTGTCTATGATATGAACATAGCCATTGGTTTGTGTTACATCGGCTTGCACTAAAGTAGCATTAACTCCACCGCCTTCAACAGTTATCGTTTGATTTGAGCCCTCACCGTTTATGTTGAAATACAAAAATGTTTTGTTGTCTACAGTAGGTACTTGTGCAATCTAAACATAAATAATTAATAATAAATATTGTATATAATTATGGTTCATGGTAGTATGAGTACAAACCATATTTTGATTCTTTTGGCGTATCTTCTCCACATTCAAACGTTCTTTAATGATGTGCATATTTATAATTTGTCGCATTTTCTCACGATTCCTGAGAAAAAAATAAAAAATACTTTTTTAAAATATAATATATTTAATTTTAAAAGTATTTAATTAATAATTTAATTTACTGATATCAAAAAAAAAACTTGTATTCTTGTGGAGTAACGTTAGCATGATTTTCTCAGTATTACGTTCCTAGATTAGGTTCTACACATAAGAAAGAATATATAAATCATGCAACAAATAATGCCTCTACAAACGGAATAGTATTGAAATTTAACAACTAAAAAATAAAAATATAATTAATTAATTCAATTATTCTACAGCTGGTTTATGATTTCGTTCTAATATAAATACAGCAAGAAAATTTGTTAATAAAACTTTCGCAGCAAAGTAACAAAACTCCAGAAAAATGTGCGAACATAAAAGTCAAGTACGGCTTTGGGTCAGTTGATTAAAGTGCGCTGACTCTGAGCTTCAAATTTGACAGCACCCGAGTTCGATTCCTGTTACTTGCGGTCTCAAAAAATTATTTACGAATAATTAAATACAAGATCATGATGGGTATTTATGATCAGCCAAAAATTCAATTAATTAAAATAATATAAAAATAAATTTTTGTTGTTGTATTTCACCACTGTTCGAAAAAAACTCTTTAAAAAAACAATATTAAAAAAAATATTTAATTACCTTATAATATTGTTAAGAGAGGATGCGTTCCAGGCATCATTGCTAGGTGCTAGTATTGTAACTTCTCCCATATTATTAATATCATCCAAAACCTCACCGCCGATGTCCATGATGACCTCATAGAATTTGCGTAAAGCACCATTTTCGTTGTCCTAATCGAAAATCGAGAATATTTCATCAAAAAAATGATAATTATAAAAAACAATCAAAAAGCTTATAAGCATAAGAACAAAACCTCAAAACGAGCATAAAATAATTATAATAATTTTAATAATAAAATATTTTTATGCAAATTTTTTACATTTGTGCATACACAGCGAAACATAAAAGTGTGGCGAAATGAGGACGAAATGTACTTTCCGAATTATTGCCAAATAAAAAATGTTAAGTTAGTTTTTGTTTTTTTTTGGTGAGGTGATGTTTGTTCTAGAAGTGGTGGACGCGTCTATGATCAAATGTTTTGCGTGATTATGTTTGTTTGTTGCTGTTTTATAGGCTGCCCTTAATAAAATATAAGTTCATAATTTTGCTATCTAGTGAGTCCAATTATTTTAAAAAGCCGCATTTAAGCCCGGTTTAAGTTCGGTTAATTATAATAATCGGTAAATATATATGTATCCCAAAAATTAATATTTCTAATTTGATGCAATAGTATGTACGTATATACTTATATAAAATATAGTAATTTGTGATTATTATTCAATTATCAATCAAGCAAGAAGTAACATTATAGGTATGTCGTGAAAGATACTTACGTCCATTAACTAAAATTTTTGTTGTCGAGTGTTTAACAAATGCGAATTTCAAATGTTAGAAACAGCAAAGTCGTTAAATTCCATCGAGAAGAGTTTTTGTTGCCATGTTAAAAATAATCAATGGAAAATGTTTTAGTGTCGAACATTTTCTATTTTAGGTTAAGATATCGTTATATTGTATTTGGATTAAAATTTATGTGAATGATAGCCAATATGGTTCAAATCTATTTGTACTTTCATTTTATACAAAGAGTAATGAATGCAGAATTTTAGTTTATTTATTCTTTTAAGGTACAAGCTCTTCTCAAAGTTAACTTTATGCCTTCAACAAAAGCGAGGAATGTGAAAAGAAACTATTTACTGAGGAAATGGATTAATGTTAGTATCTATGAGAAAACTAATCACTACTGCAGAAAGGGTGCAAAACCTAACCATTTTCTTATTATTTAAACGGCAATAATGGTCTCAAAAGTTACGATATGGAAATTATTAATAAAAAATAAATTAATTTTGATTCACAGGGTCTATAACCCTATAACCCTATAACCATAATATATATATATGTGGGACGCAGATCTGGCAACGCCAGCACACGAGCATAAGGAAGTAAAAAAGAAGAAACAAACGTAGTGTGGCAGTGCAGAAAGAAGACGTGTGAAGTAATGACGTGTGTGCGGAAGAACAAACAGTTTTTTTCATTTATATATATTTTTTTTGTAATTTAATTAATTAGTTTTGATTCTAATAAAAAGGAATCCTACAAATTGGGGGCTCAACAGGGATTTGAATTTCCGGCAATTGTGAAATTCAGTCTACACAATGACTTGCTTAAATGACTTCGTAAGCAGCAGCCTGCGCAGTAGCAGCAAAAACATAATAATAGCGTTGCATAAATTTATATACCAAGAAGAAGGTGATAGAAATAATCGAAAGAGATTGAGAGAATTTTCTGGATTCGATTACGACGAAAATGACAAGGCGTATGCAAGCAAATGCGAATATATTAAAAATAATTTGACTGAACGTGATTTGGTTTCAATTTGTATTGTACTAAATATAAGTTATTGTGTTAAAGATGTACAACTGCACATATTTCGAAATCTACGTAAAAATTTTTTGTTGTCCGAAAACGCAAACGACGATGAATGTAATGACGAAGAAGGAGATGAAGAAGTCGATGATGATGATGACGAAGAAGGAGATGAAGAAGTCGATGATGACGTTGACAGTAAACGCACTTTCAGAGGCAATGAACGCGAGTTTAAAAAATCTCATGACGATAATGGCAATAAAATGTTTGAAGTGGATGATAATAATAAAGCAGCAGCGTACACACGTACAAAATTTTTACAAAGAGAAGCACCAAAATTTGCAATGAACTTTCGCGATATAGAGGACTCAATTAGACCATTTGATGGCACAAATATCATTTCGGTAGAAAGGTGGATTGAAGAATTCGAGGAACAAGCTGCACTGATGTATTGGGATGGGTTTCAAAAACTAGTGTTTGCAAAAAAATCTCTTAGAGGCATTGCTAAACTTTTTATTTTGAGTGAAAGAGGTTTAAATTCGTGGTGTGCTTTAAAACACGCCCTGTTAAATGAGTTTCGAACAACAACAAATAGCGCACAATTGCATAAGCAACTTAGTGCTCGCAAAATAAAAAAAGATGAAAATGTGTTTGAATATTTTTATCAAATGAAAGATATCGCATCTCGCGGCAATATCGAAGACGAAGCGCTGATTCAGTATATAATAGATGGAATTAGAGACGGTTATGTAAATAAAATGATACTATATGGTGCAAAGAACCTTAATGAATTTAAAGACAAATTAAGATCATATGAAACAATGTGTGAAAAAAGTAAGCAAGTTAACGATTTTAAACAAAGCGAAAAGAAAAGTTTCTCAACAAATAAAACAGAAGTGAAATGCTACAATTGTGGTGAAAAGGGACATTTGTCCATGAATTGCAAAAATAAAAATCGAGGTACTAAATGCTTTAAGTGCAACCAGTACGGACATATTTCTAAAAACTGTGAACAAGCCGAAAACAAAATAAATACGCGCAGTTTACAGCAAAAAAAACAATTTAACTACCAAATCCATTTTTATTGGCAATTTACAGTGCGCAGCCCTATTCGATACAGGCAGTAAATTTAATATAATTCGCGAAGACTTATACAACAAGTTGAATAAGCCTATCTTAGAAAAATGTAACGTATGTTTAATTGGTTTCGGTAGTGATCGCAATTCAAATAGGATTAAACCGATTGGACATTTTAAAAACTTAATTAAAATTGACGATAATGAGTTCATATTAGATTTTTATGTCGTTCCAATTCGGTGCATGGACTTACAAGTGATCATTGGCGAAGAACTATGCTTATACGCTGAAATTTTATTTAATCGTGATGGTATAAACGTTCGTAAAATCCTCGACGAAGACGATCCCATAGACGAAGAAGCTAAAATAATGAAAATTGACTTAGTAAATGACAACAAAACGATTGATATCGACAAAACCGCTAGTGAGAATGCGAGACGACAGGTACGTGAAATGATCATAAATTATCAGCCGAATCAATGTAAAACAACACAAGTGGCGATGTACATAGTGCTCAAAGACGAAACACCCATTTATTCTAGGCCGCGTAGATTACCGTTCACGGAGAGGTGCATTGTGGATGAGCAAGTGGAACAGTGGTTGAAAAATGGTGTAATTGAACGATCGGAGTCAGAATTCAGTAGCCCAGTTGTATTGATAAAAAAACGCGACGGTACACCACGCTTGTGTATTGACTTTAGAAGAATTAATAAAGTATTGGTGAAAGACCGTTTTCCGTTGCCACTAATAGAAGACCAACTCGATCGGCTACAAAGTGGTAAGGTGTTCAGTACAATTGACTTAAAGAATGGATTTTTCCATGTGCCCGTGGCAGAATTGTGTCGTAAATACACGTCATTTGTTACACATAATGGACAATATCAATTCTGTAGAGTGCCATTTGGATTGTCGAACTCACCAGGTGTTTTTCAAAGACATATAAACGCGATATTTCGTGAATTAACTAATGAAGGTATAGCTTTACCATACGTTGATGATATCATTATACCCGCCGCAAATGAAGAACAAGCCGTACAAAACCTAAAAGTTGTATTACAGCGGTGTGCAGACTTTGGACTTGAATTGAATTTTAAAAAATGCAAGTTTCTAATGAGAAAAGTGGAATTTCTAGGGCACACAATACAAGATCAAAAAATATCACCGTCAGAAGTTAAGGTTGAAGCTCTACGCAAATACAAATTGCCGCAAACATTAAAACAATTGGAAAGTTTTCTTGGGTTGGCGAGTTATTTTAGAAAATTCATACCTAAATTCTCGCTAATTGCCAAGCCTTTAACAGATTTAAGGAAACAAAATGTGAAATTTGAAATAAAAGATGAACAGATTACTGCATTTAATACGTTGAAGACCATCTTAAGCGAAAAACCGGTACTAAACATTTTTAATCAAAAATCTGAAACGGAAGTGCATACAGATGCTTCGATAGAAGGATATGGAGCCGTTTTATTGCAAAAATCACCAGACGACGAACAATGGCATCCTGTGTATTATATGAGTAAAAAAACCACTGACGCACAAAGAAAATATACAAGTTACGAACTAGAAATATTGGCTGTTATTGAAGCTTTCAAAAAGTTTAGAGTATACATTCTGGGTATGCATTTTAAGCTCGTTACTGATTGTAACGCATTTGCGATGACATTGGGAAAGAAAGACTTGTGCACGAGAGTAGCCCGTTGGATATTGTTCTTAGAGGAGTACGATTACGAAGTTCAGCATCGTGTTGGTTCGCGAATGAAGCATGTTGATGCTTTAAGCCGCTACGCCGTTATGTGCATAGATGAAGATAATATTCTTTCTAAAATACGGAGAGCACAGATGCAAGACGAAAACCTGAAAACGATATCGGATATTCTACAAGAAAAATCTTCATACAACGATTATTTTAAGAAAGGAGAGTTGTTGTATAAGCTGAGAAATGACCAAGAACTTATTGTTGTACCTAAGAGTATGCAGCGTGAAATAATTAGACATGCACATGAAAAGGGACATTTTGCCGTAAAAAAAACAAGTGAACTACTCCGAAATGACTATTTTATACCTCAATTGGAAGAAAAAATACAAAAACACATTATGAATTGTATTCCATGTATCGTTGTGAATCGGAAGCAGGGTAAGCAAGAAGGCGAACTACACTCATTGATTAAAGAAAGTATACCATTACACACGTACCATGTTGATTTTTTGGGACCATTAGAATCAACGAACAAACAATATAAGCATATCTTTGTCGTTATTGACTCTTTTACTAAATTCTGTTGGATATATCCAACTCGAACCACATCAGCTAACGAGGCTATATCCCGATTGCGTACGCAAAACATAGTTTTTGGTAATCCTAATCAAATAATATCAGACCGAGGTGCTGCTTTCTCTTCAGATGATTTTCGTAAGTATTGCGAGGGTGAAAGTATTAAACACATCAAAATTACTACGGGCTTAGCCAGGGCCAACGGACAAGTCGAAAGATTGAATAGCATAATTGCACCAGTTTTGGCAAAATTAAGCATGGCAGATCCAACTAAATGGTATAAAAATGTTGACAAAGTGCAGCAGATAATAAACTCCACGTATTGCAGAAGTACTGGAACGACGCCTTTTGAATTACTAATTGGTGCTAAAATGCAAACAAAGGAAGATATTCAGATCAAAAAAAATATCGAAGAGGAAATTACAACGATTTTTAATGAAGACCGAGAAGAAATGAGGCAACGCGCAAAGCAACAAATACTGAAAATCCAGTTAGAAAATAAGAATGCATATAACCAAAGACGCAGGCCAGCCGTAAAGTACAAAGTAGGCGACGTAGTCGCAATCAAAAGGACGCAGTTTTCGGGAGGACTGAAGCTAAAACCAAAATACTTAGGACCTTACGAGGTCGAGAGAGTTAAATCAAACGATACGTATGATGTTATAAAAATCGGAAAAAGCGAAGGGTCAAAGCGGACTAGCAGTTGCGCAGAGTATATGAAGCCTTGGGCAGTTGCTGACAATGACACTTCATTCGGGTCGAACGAATCGCAGGATGGCCGATTGTGGGACGCAGATCTGGCAACGCCAGCACACGAGCATAAGGAAGTAAAAAAAGAAGAAACAAACGTAGTGTGGCAGTGCAGAAAGAAGACGTGTGAAGTAATGACGTGTGTGCGGAAGAACAAACAGTTTTTTTCATTTATATATATTTTTTTTGTAATTTAATTAATTAGTTTTGATTCTAATAAAAAGGATCTAATATATATATATATATATATATATATATATATATATATAGATATATGGAGATTGCTACTATTTATTTCTTTTTATTACCGGTTGTACAGTACATTTATAAAATAATCTGTATATATATGGATGTAGTATATATATAGATATATTGCTACTAGTTATTTTTTTTATTACTGATTATAAAGTACATATATAAAATAATCTGTATGGATGTAGTATATATATTGTGTAAAAATCATCTGGAATTATTATTTAAAACATTAAAAAATCAATAATAAATTCTACTTTTTTTGTCCCTCTTAAAGTCGACCTATCTTCCATATATTTTCGTTGGCTTATCGAGGTATAGTTGTTATCACCTTCAGCGAATTTTCTTTTATGGTCGTAATTAACCCAAAATGTCTTTATCAAGGTGGTGATTTTTATTTGAGGTACAAAAAATGTATTGGCGCTACGTCACGCCTCTTGTAACAAAGAATTGCCACTACTTCTACTACCACATCACTACATGCAGAACGCTTTGTGGCATTTCTCAATTACCACAACGCGTTCTTAATCGGATATGAGTTTTCTCAATTTTTCATAAAGCTATTGAAATAAGAGTTTAGTACAGAATGTACAAATTTTATACATATCAGTTAAGAATTAAATATAGTTGCCATATAATCTGCCAATTCGGTTCAATGTTTTTATTTGATTCGCTTTTGTCTAAACACAAATTTTTAAACTTAATAAAACCAATGAAATAAAATCGGAGTTTATTAATTTAGATCTAGATATAGTTAGCATAGAAACTGGCGATTTATGTTTTTCTTAGAAAAAGTTTCTTTTGAAAACAAATTTGGAACTTAGTGCAACCTGTGTAATAAAAATGGATCTCGTTGATTTAGATCTAGATTTCAATAGTTCATATACATATAAACCGCCGATTTAAATATGCTTCTCTTGAAAAATTTTTCAATTGTTCAATGTATTTCCTTTTTATTTAGAATTTATTTATATACTATAAAAGAGAATATTCGTGGTAAGAATGGTAGCGATCTGTTCAGATGCGGATATAGTTGCCTTACAAATTTATATCTCTGATTCATCTCATTCTATATTATGTTATGTGCCCTTCCATCCAAAAGCTCTTTCAACAAAAACAAAAAATTTATAGTAGCACTTATAAATATTATTATATATTATATTATAAACATGTTATTATATATTATATTATATGTATATATTATTATAAAATGTGGTCTTTATTAATATTACTTTATATTGCATTATAAACAAGTTATTTAATATTATTATTATATTATAAACATGTTATTACATATTATATTATATGTATATGGTATATTATTATAAAATGAGATCTTTATTAATATTTCTATATACTGTATTATAAAAAAGTTGTTATATGTAATATTATATATATATTACTATAACATGAGATCTTTATTAATATTATTATATATTATATAATATATAAACATGTTGCTATATATCATATAATATATATATTATCATAAAATAAGCAAAGCCAACGTTTTTTACATTATTTATACAATTTTAATATGTTTAATAATAGATATCTAGATCTAGGATGGATTTAGTTTTTATCTCTTTGAGTTTTTTGTGAGGAATATGACACTGCCGATACAAAACATCGGTAATTAAGGGAAGTGGAAGAATATCTGCTAACTTATCATTGCAATTAACCATTAATTAATCATTTAGTAAATTTTAAGTTTAATGCATTATCCTCAGAATTATTTTTAAAAGATTATTTAAAAAAATTAACTTCATGTTAAATTTGATATGTTGTCCTCGAAAAGTGAAATACATTTTTCATGCGCATTTGTTAGAGTTGAAATAAGTTTTTATTAATTTATAATTAAATGATGCTAATAAGCTATATTATTTTCATATTTCATGCAAATTTTTTCGACGATAAATAAAAAGGTACGGGTAGACGGGTAGTGGTGGCATGAGTAGATCGAATAGAAGAAATGAAATTTTTACTTTTATTTGGGAAGGATATGCCTAAGACGGTGGTCTGAACATGCTTTGAGAGATCGATTTTATTAGCTAGAAAAAGTATTTTAAGTGAAATTTTGAATGTAGAAAGTGTGTAAATATTTGTTGTCATATATTTTAATTACCTTAAACGACTACATAATTTATACAAAAATTATAGTTGTTGAAAAGTCCAGTTCGCATTCGTACAAAACATTTATGAAAAATTACATAAAGAGAATTATGTCAATCATTAAATCGCAACAATGATTTATGTATGAAAAGCAATATATGATATGAATATGAGCTAATGTTTATCTAATGAATTAATCCAAAAAACTATAATTAAGCAAAATTGATAGGCAAATTAAAAAAATTGTGGCCAATTGAAGCCGAATTCGGTTTGTCCAATATTTGATTGATCTGTGTAACGTACTAAAGTGAAAAAAAAATATTTTCAATAAAATATAATTAATTATAAAAATAATAGATAATGTGTTCGTTTACCCACTTTGTGCCAAGTACAAATTTTAGGTTTCCCCAAAACATAAAACGGAACTCAAATTATTTTTGCATAATTTTTGAAAAACGTCAGAATAATTGTTAAACTTTTTATGTGCTGTATGCGATGCAGTTTTTCAAGGCGCACAGTTCGAAGCCTCTGGACTTTTATATAGACAATTTAATTTGGAATTTTCTATAATTTTGAAAATACGAGTATTTTGCATTTAATTCGAATAGGTTGACTCGAATAGATTGTTTAACGAATTATTCTTTAAGTGCAGATTGTTTGCCATTGGCTTGAACTGTTTCAAATGAGAACTATGATTTTAAAAAAGAACATTCAACTTTTAACAATTACAACGTTTAATTGTTTAATTAATACTTACATTACACCCAAAATTTTTTTAAAATAAAATTTATATTTTAAAATTTATTTTAAAATAAAACTTTGCTTTTGATTTTACATTGAACTGAATTTAATAATATCAACGATTTTTGAATTCAGCTCAAGTTAAAATCAGTCTTCGGGTTTTTATTTAATTTAATTTTTTTTTGTCTTCTAACTTCTGTTATATGTGGAATTTTTTATTTGTGGAAAAGCAATTATTTTTAGAAAATTAAACAATAAAATTAATGCTAAACAATAATAGTAAAATTGGTGCTGGGTTATATATATTTTTGTATATTAGATAATTCCTGCTTTGACCATATGAGAATACTTTTGCAAGTTAATGATTCTGAGCTACGCAAAATGCTTCAATAAATTCAGATAGAGTCAAAGCACTTCTCCGTTAGTCTTTAGTGTCTATGTGTAAACCATAACCGCTTTGTATTTACATAAAAATAATAGTTAATTATTAAAATTAATATAAATTTAATTATACATATATTTAATAACATTAAACTATATTTATACGCCCTGCATTGAAGTAAAGCGATTTACTATGAGATATAGCAAAAAATTAAAACTTTAACTCTAATAAAGGACTCGATATAAAACATATATATATTCTATATATTATCAATAACTAATAAAGTTTTCTATTTATACAAGTTTCAGTTCATATCTATAAATCCTGAATCAAAAATATCTGCACTTCAGTACGAATATATAAATAATTTTATTTATTAAGAAATTATAATATTTTAAGCTTATAATTATTAGACTTATCAGCTAAATTGTAAAAAATTAATCAATTAATTTTTGTATATGTTGTTCCTCTATTACTATTCGAACCCTTCTAGTTTTCTTTTCGCCATTAGACGCATTACATTTGACAAAAGAAATCTAACTTATAATATTTTAATTTTAAAATAAAGCTTGTATAAATAAAATATTTATATATTAGAAGTAATAATAATAATAATCTTTAATTCTTTATAATTAATAAAATGCTAAAGTGAAAAATAAAATAAAATGTAATGGATTAATATTTATATATTAATTTAATATTCATATAATTTAATTATAAAATAAAATTTATATATTAATTAAATAAAAATATAAACAATTGTTATAATTTTACTAACTTAATTGATTCTTATATTTTTGAATACTAAAATGAAACTTAAAATTGTATTAAACTGTAATTTATTTTCAAAAAAATAATTCATTTACGGTGGAAACTCCCATAATGGACAATACTCTTGATTATTTAATCTATTATGCACCTGAGTTTGATATACTATTGTTATAAAACTACGATACTTTTTAGAAGCAGAATTTTGAAAAAATATACTGCCTTTTATATATCAATATTCCGAAGAAAATGTCTTATGTTATATAATAATGTAATAGTTTTCTCTAGTACAGAAGTCATGCCTATCAATTTTCCTATGGACATATGTTGACTTATTAAAGGTATTTAATAATTAATTTATTTTAAATCATATTAAAAAAATAAAGGGAAAAATTAATTGAATATATATTGAATTTGTTTAATATTATTAAAAATAATCTATAAACAAAAATTGGCGTTCTATTCGCCAACAACTAACCAGCAGAGTTCGTCGATTGAATTAAATTAATTAACGTATAAATATAAAATATATTATTAAAATTAACACACTGAAGATGATCTGCGAGGTACATTAAAATATTTGTTTAAAATTATTTACAATTAAAATAAAAACAAATCAATACATATAAAAAAAATTTTTCACATTAATTTTCAATAAAAAAAAAATTATTTTCAGCCTGGTAAAAGAAATTATATATAAAAAAATGGCAAAATAAATTCCAAATATAAATACATTTTACATTGTTTTTTTTTCAAAAAAAAAAAAGAAAATACGTATAAAATACTACTTAAGCGTCTCTTATTCCAA